CTAGTTTGAAGACATTTTAGCTTTCCATCAGCTGAATATTAATAAAAATGATTTAACTTAAAAAGAAACCGTGACTTTTATTCTAGAGAGAAATATTCTTTTGTTTGCTGACAGATTGAAATTATATACAGTAGTTTCTAATGAAACATTATAGGAAAAACAGTAGATGAATCCTAGAAATTCAATATTTAGCTAAGGGTGCAGTTCAACTTCTAGATCAGAAGCAAATGAGAGATATAGAATATCAAATTAGTGCAATTTGGAAAGCATTTAAAATTTATCCCATTAGTAACAGGCTGAATATGATATCTTTTAATGAGTTTTGAGACTGTGAGAATTTATCAACGATTTTAACAATGAAGAAGACAGAAGCTGAAAAAATGTTTTGGCGATAAAGCAGTGTGGATACTCATATAATTGTTTTGGGACACAATCACAACTTTTTCGCATAACAAACGATTAGACCATTTTTATCAGCTGTAGAATGAATAATAGTTGGATTAGAGTAAATTTAAAGCAAGATCTTAAATTTTATGATTTATCTGGGGGAGAGGGCAGAACTGAATGTTTTATCATTCATTTTTAAATCTAAGTTAACTTCATGGTTAACTAAATGACAGATCGTTCCTTTCTGGATTTAGGAAATTTCGCTGCATTTAAATATTTTTCGAATAATGGCAGTGTTTTCAGAAATAGAGAACCTAAAAGTTTTTAAAAAATTAAGACATTTCCGAGTATTTCCTTTTGATCCTTTCTTTGATCTTTGCAGACAAATTATAGTTTTATTATTGAAAAAACAAATATCCACACTGGGAAGTTAACTGGAATTCACACTTTACCAAGTTTCCACAGTGTGTGACTTAGTGAAGAAGTTAACTGGAAGTGGAAACTTCTGATGAACACATTCCTCGTTCTGTAGATAAATCAAATGGTGGTAGCTGCGGTACATCATGTCTTGAGTAGGAGAAAAGTTTGTTTCTGTATTTATTTTACAGAAAATGGAGATTACCAATATCATTGGAGTACAAGTGAAGAAGATGGAAACACATTTAATATATAGTTAAATTTTATTTAAAGCTATTATGTAAAGAAATAGTTTCAAAGAACTTTTATAGATGTCTTTAAACGTAAGCAATCAGGACTTAAGCAAGCGAATTTCAGCAGGATCGTTTTAAAATCTAAGAGTGATATTTTTTGTGCTGAAGGCGTAAGATAATTTGGTTATAGAATTACTAAAGTAGAAAAGCTTTGTTTATATTTATCAGGAAACAAAGTTACTAAGAAATAAAGCAAGAAGAGGACGAAAAATTATAAAATGTTTGTTAAGACGGAAGAGTGGCCCAAAAGTGGCTGAGCAGTAAAGTCGCTAATAGTTCGGCTCGGGACTCAAATCCCCTTCCACCGGGCTGGCTGAATGGGTGTTTTCGGGATTCTTCTCATAGTAACGTAGGTACGAGGAAGTTTCTTATAAAAGTCCTTTATGGGGCATTCTTTCCTTTGGCTGAAAAGAAAAAGAGGAAAGAATAAAAAATCTGTATGATTAAAAGAAGAAAATTTTTATTTAGGGCCCTAAGATCAATATCAAGTAAAACTGTTTTTTTCAGTGAATTTTAGAAAGACAAAAAAAAAAAAAAAAATAAATAAATAAATAAAATAAAAAAAAAAAAAACCTGTCAGTCGTTGAAAAAAATAAGTGCCTAAAGAAAAAAGGTCATATCTGAATTTAACAACAGGATTAAAAATGAGTAGTGTGGGTATAATAGAAAAATGTCTTAAATGGGCAGAAAAATCAATGGGGAGGAATTAATTACTTAATTATTTAAAGAATTACTTGAAGTTATTTGAGCTTTTAGAAACATTATTAAACACAATTTAAATCTGATGCTCTCAGATGAAATTATTCTGCCTTTGAGATACAAACTTACCCTTTTTTGTCGTATTACTCGTAGAATTTTTATCCTTTTTTAGTTGTTTCTTACTTCATTTCTTAATGAACTAATTTATTTATGACGTGAAAAAAATCCTATGCTTATTATTTAGTCTCTATTTTAGCTACTCTCTATGCATTTTTAGTACAGGAAAGATCAAATTCCAATATAATAAAAATCGTGTTTTTTTTCCTCCTTATTCCTGCAAATTCCAGTAGACACCCTTATTTGAGGTAGATGTTCTGTTTATTCTCTAAATTTCAATAAATGCTAAGAATATTCACATTTTTCATTTTAATTCATGTTAATAAACATCTTACATAAAACAGTGAAACTGACTTTGAAATCGAATTTATACCTTTTCAAATTATAATGTCTCTCAGCTGCTGCCATTTGATTGATCACCAAAGATTGCGATAGCCAAAATAGTTTCCAGTTCCATTTCACTTTCTGATTGCGTTACACCTATATTAAGTAAGCCTAACGTTTTATACTGCAGGTATGCGAATTTTTCAAATTTGAATTGTGTTGAATTTTAATTAAACTCACTTTTAGTTGATATATAAACACTTATATTTAAATATGTATTACATTTACACCAGCATGTAAATTCGCAAAACATGAAAAGTTTAAGCAGTATTCACAATTTCGTTTGCAGTTGTATATCGCTAACTATTAAGAGTAGAGCCCAAATAAAAATTTCTTACATAAGTAGTTTCTCCCTCTAAGAAGTCTTGGTTTATAAGCTTCAAGAAAGAATTGATAATGTTTCAGAACAACAAAACATAATAATGTTTAACATAAATAAACAAACAAACAAAACATGAATAAACAGAAGCTGTTCGCACACTTTTTAGATGATTACTGTCAAAAATTTTTCTGCTTGGATTTTTTTTTAACTGCAACTCGATTTTTGAAAGTATAATTATCGTCTCCTACTTGAAAATTTTGTTTTCATGCAAAATGTTGCTTTTAAAGAAGTAATGGTTGGAAGGCTATGTTTGTGTTCTTCCCGAAGAAAATTATTCATTTTTAGTTACTAAAAAAACGCTGTGGTGGCTTAAAATGGTATTTCGGTAGCTACAGCTACGATAGGTAATGTTGTCAATAGCACAGGGGGAAAAAGTCAAAATTTAGCTTCAAGTGGAAAAATTGTTCCAAATACATATACAAGGAAAAAAACAAAATGTTTCGAATATTGCAATAGTAAATTATTTAAATGCTAAAAGAAAATCCGCCAAGTCAAAGGGCAGCTGCAAAATTATTAAAATGCTCAGTGTCAACTGTAAACGAAGTCATTAATGCTGATTTGAATCTTAAAAGGGCAGAAAAACATAATGCCATCTCAATTTCTCCATGACATAACACTGAACGCGCTACAGAATTGTTTTTGAGAAACATTTAGCTGGACAAAAAGGAGAAATATTTTCACAATAGGCAAACCTTGGGTGTATTTAAATGACTGCAATTAAAAGAAATCCATTCACTAGCCTCAAAGAAGAACCATGTTTAAAGAAAAAGATCTTAAAACATGGTTTCAAGGAATCTGAAGAAAGTTTTTCTAAGGAATTTACGATTATTGCTGGTCTATCACTTAACGGCAAATTAAGAATAAAGGGAGTGGAGAAATGTATTAAGCTAAACTCCCACATATAATCAAAAACATATTTTATACTCAGTTTTCAAACAGGAAATATTTCTGTTTACCCACAGCGTGATCCATCAGTAGAACTGCATCAAGTCAAAGCAAGCAGCGACATGTCAAAATCTAGTGTAATTTTCCTGGAAAAAGTGGAACAAGAAACAAGTATTAAGGCCATACACTTCTTTCATATTTATACTAAATCTCCTAATCTATCACCAATGTATTTTTGCACTTTGGGAATTTTAAAAAGCGAGTTGTCCAAACGCCGACCTTTGTCCAAACTTTTTATACTTTGGGAAGCTGCTCAAGAGTAATGAGATAAAACACTTCTTCCGATATTACAAAAGGCCTTATTGTATTAGAAATTAGGATGTGTAAAGATAGTGAAGGATAACGGTTATAAAACACAGTATTTAAAACATAAAAATTTTAGGGAAAATATTTTTGTAATTACAATGAAAATTGTCTAAAAATGTGTGAACAGCCTCTGTATACCAGTTTTGTCTTCCGGCTTAGGAAATCTAGTTCCATAACAATAATATATACGAAATGTATATCTTTATGTTATTCGTGTGCGTGCGTGTATGTACGTTAATATAGCTCCATGTCCTTCGAACGGTAAAACATTTTAAGTTTCAATCAATCGATAAATATCGTAGTGTCTGCTTATGGGACTATGAGCATGTCATGAGGCGATTTTTTTCTACTCATGTGACCAGGAGACGAAAGTTTCAGAAGATCTCAGTTGGTTTCTAATTAAGCGAGTAAATATAGCGAAAAACAATGTGGACAGTAGTGTGCTGGTTATTTTAGCTAATTAGCGAAAAAAATCAAGTTAACGCGCACCGCAATCTGCATTATGCCTGCTTAACACTAAATCTCGAGCTCCAGATAGCTGCTAGAATTAAATATAGTAATATGAAATTAAATAGAGTATTGTGGCAAATTATATGGAAGCTCTTCTGTAATGAGTTACCCGAAAATATATATTTCCTAATATAAATTATTTCATTACAGATTACTCTATAACTTTGTAACTTGTCTTTTCGGATGGTCTTGGCAGTCATGCAAATCTGTTTGTTCCGTACAGAAACATTTGTTGATGAGAAAAGAAGGAATGCTGACGAAAGTAACAAAAAAAGCAGTAATAAAATTATTTTCAGCAAATATACTTAGTATAAATGCAAATCCCTGTTCACGAGCAATATGACTATAACAAAACTTGATGTGCTTAGAATAAGAAAGAGAATAGGGAAGAGTACAGACATGTAAAAGCTTCAGAAAGTACTTGGTTTCCGTATGCAGATTAAAAAATTGAAAGAAAGCAATGCTACGCGTTTTTTCCCCAATATTAAGGGAATTAGAATCACTATTATGCATATCTCTGTATCTGTATATATGTGTTTTAGTAAAGTTTTCTCTTTCAGAAGGAAAGTCGTTTTCCAAGTATTAGAGAAAAGCCATCATCAGCTCGTTCATCTCGCCAGGATTCAAAATCAAAAGAACATCAAGTTGCTGAAATTTTGGATGCTATTCTGCCACCCAGGTAATAAGAGAATTTATCAATAATAATGAAAATTAAACGTTGCCTAATTCTGAGCATGCAGTGTAGGTATCTAACTTACAGTTTATAATTTAAAATTAGACAAAAATGGTTGCCTCAGAAAGTCATAGATTTTGAAAAAACTCAGTCGACTTCGAAAGCAATCTGACATAGGTCCCTTTTCTTTAGAAGAAAAGAACAAAACAAAACGTAACACCATCTCTCGAGAAAAACGCTTAAAAGTAAGATATTCGAATTTTGAAGGCGAATTGGAATTCATGTCTTTAACAAAAGAAGGTAAATTTTTGTGAATTTGACAGCTTTAATAAAATCCAGTTCACATGTTAAGAAGTTCTGTGTATGACTTCCGCTGAACCAAAGACAAAATTATAGATAAGTGATCAATGATAATTAGCTATCGGAGATTCGTTTATTTCTCATTTCCAAACATAAGATTCATATTCTTTGATGGGAGTTTTAATACATTTTTAGTTTTGTCGATGCATATATACAACAATACTGATAAGAAAGTAATTATTTTTTACGGTCTTTAAATTCCTCAGGGATAAATATACAATGCACACCACAAATTAAAAACAGGATTTCTTTAGTCAGTTTACAAATAAAAATTGAAATAACAACCAAGATCTGTATAACTATTTATATTAATAACATGAATGATCTGTCTCATTAGACTAATGCTTTTGTTTTGTCTTTTTCGCTTTATTATTAAGCAAATTTTTTCGCACTTACGCCATATACAATTCAGCAGCAAAATTACAAATATTTTAAAAGCCGCATAGCATAGCACGATGCAGCGTCAAGTGTTGCCATAAATTTTTCTGTTTTTTTTTCAGTCTTTTCTCAGTGGCTTAATTTTTTTGCCTTTTTATTAGTAGATTTTTGTCAGTTAACTTTTTCTTATCAAATATTACTTTCTTCGCACTTACGCCACATAAAATTCAATTCAACAGCAAAATATTTAAAAACAGCGTATCTCCAGATTGCCGGATAGAGTGTATTTTTATATTCACTATATTATACCGTTAAAAAGTAGCCGCTTGTGCACCAGCCACCTAAAATAATCATCATAAAAAAGAAAAAGTATGTGACGATTTCATTAAGTTCAACTAGCTTAATTTCTTCTCTCACCCGGGATAGTGGTTAGTGACTCTGACTGCAGTATCGAAGGACTCGAGTTCGAATTCCAGAGAAGACATGGATGTTTGTATAAGTTCTGTGCGGTATGAGGATACTCTAAATACGCGCCGAGCCGAAAGTCTATTGGTTAGGGTAGGGAAATATGGGTGGAAGATCAACGGGCCTATGCTCCCGGAGTGCTATTGCTCAAAATTGGTGGGGGGGATGGGAACTGAGCTAGTCTGGCTGTCACCAAGGTGCATTCGGCTCCTTGCTTCGATTAATGTCTTGGGTTACTGAGTGGCAACATACTGGCACGTGGAAGATGAAAATATTTTATTTCAGCCCGCGCTAAGCTATTATTTTTTTGTTTTATTACAGGCTGCTACACACAGGACCGGGCGTACAAGAATTACATATATCTTCTGTTGGTTATTTTTTCTAAGGTGGTTTATTTAGCGGAAGAGTCCTGTGCTAATAAAAGTTAGACTAAAATCTTTCATGACGAATCTTGCAAGTTGGGATCCTGTTCTTAGGCTGGAGGTAAGATGTGTGATAAAAATAATGCAGGTAATGGTGGATGGGCGGGGAGACATTTTACAGAATACGCTTTTGAAAGGAATAGCCGAATAAATGGGGGAAAAGGAAGTGAGGCTTGTATAAGAAAAACGATAAGCAAGCGTTAAAGCAAGGTGTGGAAAATCAGATAATTAAAAATTAAGCGTCAGAATTTAAAAGTTTAATGTTCAGTCAGAGTATTCACTAATTCTCTTCCTAATTTCAAACTGGATGTGCATTCCATCTATTGAGTCCTGACAACTCCTGAGTTAAGGCACTGATTTTTTAATGATTAGGATCATAAAAGTGAGTTTGTTTTTTTTCTATCACGTCACTGTTTTCTTTAATGCAACTAAATATACTTGCATAAATTATGCTTGTTTCATTGTTGCAATATGTATTTTGTGAATTTTCTTTCAAAATGCTGGTTTTAGTAGAACTGGCGTTAGCTTCGTGTGTAGGAATATTTTGCTTTTCATCTAAAATTTTCTTCGACTTAAACGGGTAGTCTGGTTGTTGAAGGCTTAGGAGTAACTGTATCAGGTTCTGTGTTCCTCCTTACTTGCTTTGGGAACATTAAATGTCCTGACTCGGAACAGGGAGCTTACTAAAGCTATGTTCAATAAATTTGGGAAGTAGACAATACACACAGGAAGGCTATACGAAACCCTTTATTTTTCTCTCTTTACAATGATTTCCGGACTTCGGAATACAGAGACCAACCACTTGTGGTCTGAACGTAAGAATGTAAAAATATTAACTAAACTCTAACTAAACTTAACTTTGGATTAATCAAACAAGTGCCTATTCCAAGATTGGCCGTATATTAGCAAAAAGCCGTATGTAGTACAGAGAACTGCTAACACTACGATACGTTTAAAATTATCAAGAGGATTAAGCCTCTGGCCTTGAAGGCAAACAGCAACCGAGTAAAACTACTATGGCAAGCGGCCTGCTTCTAATACTCCTTCCTCTCTCTTGCTTGGCAAAAAGCCACAAATTAAGCACTTGGCGTTCGCAAGACAAATTTGCATAAATAAGTTAAAGCTTTTTAATTCTGGCCGGAAGTAGAAAATAAGAAGTGATAGTAAAGATTTAAAATAAAATAAACGTTAGTAAAACTTAAGATCCTTACATACTTCCCGCCAGAGTTAATTAGTTTGAAACTCAGGTCTAAAACGACCTTGTTGAAAACTTTTAGCTCTAGAATCTAACGCGAGGCCAATCTTTTACAAACATTTCTCACTAGAAACTAGAAAATTAAAAAAAAATCGATTTTTACATTATCAACTCCATGGACAATAACTTTTCATCTGTACTGCATCTAAGCACTTCTTAGTTGAAATCTGGTTCCTTCCAGATTAGTTTAATGAAATGTTACACAATTAAATGGCAAGTAACATGAATACTTATATTTATCTTAACATTCTTATTTCATTCATGACGTTATTTAATACTCTCCCCCTTGCTCTCTGACATGTGTTGTAAAGGAAAACACCAAACACGAACGCGTTTATTTACAAGTGTTCAACACTACCGCCTGCAATCAAAACACTAACGTGTTAAAATTCAACATAACAAGACCTCATAACACACCTTATATTCATCTCTAAGCCCTGAGGTACTATTCTGAAAGTGGCTAACTCTGAAGTGTAGCGTCAGAGAGCCTAACTACATTCATTCAACCTTTAACACATATTCACAATAATTTGCTCTTTTTACAGTCACACGAATAAGTTAAAAGTTTTTTTCATTACTTTCACTTTTAACATATCACAGTATTTCTTAACGTTTAAAATAACAGTTCACATTGTATATAAGGACATATTAACATGCCGTTAATTTTACGCATTTTAAAACATACATTAGTAGTACATTGTTAACTTCTATTCTTTTCCAAGCAAGTGCCAATTCTTCTACATTGAAATACTACATTTCAAAAGTCTTTCAGACTAAAACTTCTTTCTTGCCAAAATCTTTTTAAATAAAATTTTATACAATAACTTTTACAATATTCAAGTATTTACACATTCCTATTATACATTAATTTAGTTTTACTCGCGAGTAATTGAAAACCATAATACTAAAATAGGTAACAACTTCATTTCTCGCCTTTTTGGCGATTAAGGTAGACCTTACATGATGAGGTAAAACGTCTTGTTGAATTCTGCCACTTGCAGTAAAAATGAAAGATTAACTTAAGTTTGCAAAGTAACATAAAACTTTTACTTATCTTTGTGACATTCGGACATTCCTTTTCACTGCCCAGACCTGGAAGGTAGCGAAGATTACGTGTTTGATTTATCCTTCCCTCTTGTGCGGACTCGCCCTTCAGTTCCTTCCTGTAGGAGCTTTCTTTTCCCTTCCAGTTCGGTCACCCTTGAAGACCACCTTTTCCGCCTCTGCCTGTGGTCTTGGCCGTTTGATGGCCGCTGGTCATGGCGGAATCGGGAGACTTCTCTCTCGTTCCTGCTTGGATCTCGTTGCTGTCCGTTCAAATTTTCCTTGTTTTCTTTGCCTCCGCAGCCGTGTTCCTTCATCAATTCGTCGACATTTGCTGCGTAGACTCCTGTCCGATGGGTAGATCTTCCGTTTTGGAGCCGGGTTATAGTTGCCGTCATTTCTCCTGGCTCTCTTTGCATTCGTCGTACTTCTCCCTTCTTCATTCTGGAGGTGATCGTGCTCTCTCTTTTCTGGTCGGAGGAACGGCTTCTTTTTCTTGTTACCTTCAATTTTCCAACGGGGAAACTTTCTTTTCAATTGCTCCTGCCTCCTAATGGCTTGCCCTTGTGATCGTCGTTGTTCCACCTCTAGGGCTTGTGCCTGCCGTGCCTGCCGTGCCGGATCCTGCAAAAGATCTTTAAATATTTGCATTTTATTACGATTATAGAATGGTTTTATCTGGTCAATGTTTGCGGAGAATGTTTCACGATTCCTGGATTTTAACAGCACTACAGCCTGAGTTATTTTTTCTATGACATATGATCCTTCAAATCGTGGAAACAATTTGGCAGTTTTATCTTCTGGTGCTGAAGAAAATGAATGCTTAATTTTTAACACTTCATCTCCCTACTTTATAATTTACTCCCCGTCGTAATACATTCATGTCGTAATAAAGCTTTCTGTTTTCTTCTGTGCTACTTCAGTGTTCTTCTTTGCTTCTTTAATTAATTTTTCTATATCGCCCATTTTAAATTCTGGGGCTCTTTGTTGAACATAAAATAATTTATCTAACGGCGTTATAATCTTTCTGCCTAAAAATAACTCAGCAGGAGTTTTGACCGTTGTATCATGTTTTGCGTTCC